CCCTCCCCTATGACTGGCTTCCTCCAGTATGGCCACGCCTTCTAAAGGTTCCATGACCCCTCCCCAAACAATGCCATGAGCCAAGTATTCAAATACTTAGAGCCTATGGGGGACATTCTCATTCATACCACCAAAGATTGGTTATCTCAATAAATGTAGAAAAAAGCATTTGATACAATTCAAGAGAAATCTCAGAAGCTAGTTTATTCAATTCAGACCATCAAACCCATCTGTTTTCTGTGCCCCCAACAAAGGCCATAGATCCTATAGCCACACTATAAGCAACACTAAAGTGTTTGCCTGAACAACACATAGGAGATGATGGAGTGGACCTGGAGGGAAGCTAGGCCTCCAATGCCCAAGAGCAGCAGAGCTGCTCTACTCTCCGGGACCATTTTCATTAACATTGTTACCTTAGAGAGACCTCAGCCATCACTGTTCTGTTGGCCACTGGTAATGGTTTAGCTGTCTCCCCAGTTCACTGCAGAAGCTGGCAAAACAATATCTTCTCTCCCCTCCTCTCCCTTCCCCTCCCTCCCTCCGTCCCTCCCTCCCTCCCTCTCTCTTTCTCTCTCTTTTCTTTCTTTCTTTCTTTCTTTCTTTCTTCTTTCTTTTTCCTTCCTTCCTTCCTTCCTTCCTTCCTTCCTTTCTCTCTCTCTCTCTCTCTCTCTCTCTCTCTCTCTCTTTCTTTCTTTCTTTCTTTCTTTCTTTCTTTCTTTCTTTCTTTCTTTCTTTCTTTCTTTCTTTCTCTCTTTTTCCTTCCTTCTCTCTCTTTCTTTCTTTCTTTCTTTCTTTCTTTCTTTCTTTCTTTCTTTCTTTCTTTCTTTCTTTCTTTCTTTCTTGAGATAGGGCCTCACACTGTAGCCTAGGTTGGTCTTGAACTCACTATGCCAAGCTACTTTTGAACTTGCAGCAGACCTTCTGGCTCAGCCTCCTGAGTGTTGGGATTATAGAGCCAGCTAAACCAGGAAAATTTTGACTTGAAAACTTAGAAGAGGGGCTGGCAAGATGGCTCAGTGGGTAAAGATACCTGCTGCCAAGACTGACAACCAGAGATCAATCCCTGATATTATGGTGGAAGAGGGGGAACTGACTGACTCCCAAAAGTTGTCCTCTGACTTCTAGATACACGCCGTGATATGTGTGTGCCTGCGCGCGCGCACACACGCACACATAATAAATAAAACATAATAAATAAATGCAATTATAAAAAACTTCAGATGAACATTTGATGATCAAAGTGACCCCGTACCCAGGGAGATTATCTAGCTGCATAGCAATTTATCAAGATCCTTGAATAACCTTACAGTGATAGGGCCCCATTGATTATCGGCTATTTTTACTCAAATAAAAATAATTGTTTTATTTTGGAAGGTATCAGGGCACCAACTTTTAGGGGCCTTCATGATCCTTGAAGCTGTTTTAACATATTTTTGATAGATAGGCTTAAGGTAGTGTGCTGGATAGCTTTAGTGTCAACTTGACACACCTGGGTTGAGGGAACCTCAATCGGGGAATTGCCTCTATTGGACTGGCCTGTGGCCATGTCTGAGGGGCATCTTCTTGATGAGTGATGTGGGAGGGCCCAGCCCACTGTGGGTGGTGCCACCCCTGGGCAGGTGGGCCTGTGTTGCATAAGAAAGCAGGCTGAGCGCCAGGAGAGCAAGCCAGTAAGTAGCATTCCTCCATGGCCTGTGCTCCAGCTCCTGCTTCCAGGTTCCTGCCCTGGGCTCCCTGATGAACTGCATGTGACCTGGGAGATGTAAGACAAATAAACCCTTTCCTCCCCAAGTTGGTACTGGTCAGAGTGTTTTGTCACAGCAATGAAGAACGAACTAAGACAGGTAGTGACTAAAAGCATTTGCTGTAATTGCTGATATATTTGAAGTTATTTGTATTATATTTATTTTTGTTTTCATTCCCTCCTCTTTTCTTGCCTTCATTGGATTTAAATGTCCCATCCCACCCCTCACTCTTCCTTAGAAAACTTTAGATGCATTTCTTATTTATTTTAGTAGTTGTCTTGTGTACTGGATAGCTTCGGTTGTCAACAAGACATACCTGGATGGAGGGACCTCAACTGAGGAATCACCTTCATTGGATTGGCCTGTGACCATGTCTGTGGGGCATTTTTTGATTGTTGAGTGATGTGAAGGAGACAGCCCACTGTGAGTGGTGCCACAACTGGGCAGGTGGTCCTGTGTTGTATAAGAAAGGCTGAGTGTGGGCCAGAGAAGCCAGCCAGTAAGCTATGTCCTTCCATGGTCTGTGCTTCTGCTTCTGCTCCAGATTCCTGCCCTGAGCTCCTGCCTTGGCTTCCCTTGATGATGGACTGTGAGCTGTAGGCCAAATAAACACTTTCCTCTCCAAGCTGGTTTTGGTCAGTGATTTTATCACAGCAACAGAAAACCAGAACACATTGAAATTTTCAACATGCCTTATACAATTCCTAGTAGAGTGTAAAGTTATACCATTGTGCTCCTCACCACGTCTGCTTTACCCCATCCAAGTCCACATTAACTTCACATTAACCCCATCGGGCATTCTCAAATGCTGCTCAAGCTAACCTTACTCTTAGAGTTTAAATTTTGCCACTTTTTTCATCACATAAAGTACTTTTATAATCAATAAATATATTTACGTTTTTGGTGTGCATGTATGTGTCTGTATGTAAGTGGTTGTGTGTGTGTGTGTGTGTGTGTGTGTGTGTGTGTGCATGTTATTTATGGGAGTGTATGTGCATGTGCCTGAGACTGTGTGCATGCATTTGTGGAGGCTCGAGAAGGAGGTCAGGTGCCCTGCTCTGTCACTCTCTGCCTATTCCTTTGAGACAGAGTCTGTCACTGAACCTGGCACTGAGCTGGAGGCCAGCAAGACCCAGCCACCCTCTTGTCTCTGTCCCCACAGTGCTAGGGTTACAGGCATGCATGGCCACACCCAGCTTTCTACATAGGTGCTGGGATCTGAACTCAGGTTATGTGTCACGTCAGCAGCAAGCACTCTTAATCTTCCCAATCCCTCTATTTACCTTTTAAAGAAAACACTATTGAAGAAACTCTAAGAACTCAACTTCCCTGAGACTAAATGAGGGCCTCCTGCTGGCCTGAAACACAGTAGGTGCTCAGTAAATGTTATCCATCCCCTCCCTCCCCTCACAAATAAACAAGATGTTTGTTTAAGTCTGGTTAAAGCTAGATACAAATGCTTAGTTTCCATGGTTTCCTCTGAGTCACATCGGTTTCATGGACAGTTGTCAGACTACCCTCTCTCTGTGTCAGCTTTATGAATAATGTACTTGACCAAGTAGCAAGTTAAACGGCACAGGATTAAATGTTCTCATTTCTGAGTTGTGAAGTGTCGAAACTGATCAGGAAGTGATGGCACCATGCCTTTCCTCTGGGAGCAGGGGAGTCAGTCTCCATTGCTTCTGTCCTGGCTGCCAGCTGGAATGCAGCTGTTAGGGCAGCTGTTGAGCTGTTTGCCCAACTGGAAAGGATGTTGCCAAGTGGCAAATCCTTTTCATAACATTTGACTTTGCTAAGAAGAATAGCAGTGTGTTTTAGTAAGCTCCAATGGTGTGTTCCGCATGGTGAATTTATGACTCTGCACCTTCACAGCTTAGTCGAAAATAGACATTCATTTCAATTTTTAATATTTATAAAAAGAATGAATGGGTTCCCCAAGAAAGGTTCTGTACAAAACGTCTCTACAGCTTAGTTATTTGTTGAAACAATAGCAGATTAACTTGAGAAAATGAAATATCTATGGAAGGAAATATGAAAACCCAGAAATGTAGCCATACGTAAGGCTACAGTCCTGTAATGCCCAGCACTGGGGAGACTGTAGCAGGAGGATGGAAAGTTCAAGGCTACATAAGAAGATGCTAAATAAGAAAGAAAAAAAGGAAAGAAGGAACAGAAAAAAAGGAAAGGAAGGAACCCAGAAATGTCAAAGGGAAAAACGTTTATTTTCAGTCTCTGTAATATGGACAAGAGTGACTTTGCCTCTGTGTCCAGGACAGGTGCAGGCAACAGAAACATTATCTGTAGAAGCCCTGCAATTCCCAGGTCTTATGGGTCACATTGTCAAACTTGTATTTTAAAGAATATTGACACAAAGTACTTTACAATTAAAGTTACATTGCATTTGACAGATAAGGATGGGATGGGAAATCATCAGCTATTTTTACTTAATGGTAAAATCAATATGTCAAACAGAGGCAGTCAAAATAAGAAAACACACTTTATTGAATAAGTATGATTTTCTTCCAAACCCAAATGTGCAAGGGTCATGTTCAAGTTAAGACTCTCCAATTCTTGGGATATTTTCCCTTGCCAGAAGCTCATGCCTTGAAAAATGCTTATGGAGAAATACCCCAGGCACGAATAAGCTGTTACACACCCTTTGTTTGTTCCACTGGAAGTGGGTCAGAAGTCAGCAGTTGTTACCACTCACAGCATTTCTTGTGTGATCCCTGCAAATCTTTGTGATGACCACAAGCAGGCAAGTAGCATTCTCTTTAATCAACTCCCATGGTCAAAGCTGGAGCAGACATTTTTGAAGATGAGCCCGACTGAACAAAGATGCATGATCAATGGAGAGTCTAACCTACTTTTTCTCTACTGTTTACTAAACAGTAATTTAATCAGAAATGATAACAATCTAATCTGGCTGTCCCTTCAATTGCAAAAGCAGGGGGCTGCCAAGATGGCTTATCAGGTAGAGTGCTTGCTGTCAAGCCCAGAGACTTGAGTTTGATTCCTAGAACCCGTGTAAAAGTGGATAGGAAGAACAGCTGACTCCAAAACATTGTTCTCTGACTCCTACAGGAATGTTGTGGCACATGTGCCCATACCCACACATCATCTGCACAGATGAACAACTTTTAAAAATCACACCTTTACCAAAGCTGCCATGATTTCACGGAGAAGGGTAGGGTCGCTGAGAGAGTTAGACACAAGCTTTATGTACCTCTTTTTCAGGGATACAAAAAGCAGCAAATGGACGAAGTTTATCAAATCTGCTCCACAGAAAGGACCCAGCTGTTAGAGAGAGAACTGGTTGCACAGCTGAGTGAACTGAGGGCTGAGATGGAAGAACAGGGGAGCCTTCAGGGACCAGCTGGCAGGGCTTACAGGTAAATTGGCAGTGTCAAAGTGGGTCTTCTGGGACTTTACTCTTGTTCTCATTCCACAAGCTCCATCTGCCTCCTTTTTTTTCTTCATGAACAACTGACATGTCAGGCTCAGATAAATGGCACACACAGCACTTTCATACACTCCTTCTCCCTTCCAGGAACTAAGTAGGCCCAACCTTACTTAGCTGCTAAGATCAGATGGGACTGGGTGCGCTCTGGCAGTATGGTCATAAATCACAAGCCCTGCCTCTAATGTTTCCCTATATTCTCAAATTGGCAAGAGAGACTAAAGCAATATCTTATCTAATAAGATGGGAAAATATTCTTATGGTCACAAATGCTATTATCCTAAGCTCCAGAGGCTGTAATTCAAATTATACTCGATAAAAATATTTTATTTTACTTGATAACCATTTTTATTGAATTTGACCTTAATTTTGATGAGAAATTTTAAAGCTGAAATCATGGCTAAAATGATGTTCTGTAAATCCTGCTGATGAGAACCATCAAATTGCTTTAGAGCAGCAGGGTAGCCAGATGGTTAAAGCCCAGGGCCTTCGAAACCACTTCTGTTAGCTCAGGAACCTGCTAAGCACAGTGTGGGTGGTAAAGGGTATGGAGAGAGGATCAGGAGGAGAGGTAGTAAGCTGGTTTATACTTCATTCTAAAGATGATTCTGAACAGGTACTCAGCCTGTGTGGTGCTTTGAAAGAGGAATGCCCCTCATAGGCTCATGTATTTGAAACACTTGGTTTCCAGATGGTGGTGGTTCTGTTTGGGACGTTATGGAAACTTTAGGGGTGGAACCTTGCTGGAGGAAGTGTATCACTGAGGGCGGGCTTTGAGGGTTTACAGCCTGGTCCTACTTCCTGTTCTCTTGCTGCTTCTGGACTGTAGATGCAACGTGATAAGCTGGCTGCATGCTCCAATGGCCATGCCTTCCCCACCAGGATGCCCTTTGGACTTGTAAGCCAAGATAAATCCTTGCTCTGTTTAGTTATGTTGTCAGAATGAAAAAGTAATGAAGATAGCATGTTCTTCCAATTGTTCTTTTGTTTGTTTTCTTTGATGGGGGGGCAGGGTCTCCCGGTAGCCCCAGCTGACCTGGGATTAGCTATGCAGACCAGGCTGCCTCCCTACTTCTGGGACTAAAGGTGTGCGCCACTCAGCCTTCCAATTGGTTTTTAAAGCACTGATACCTGAAGTAGGTCAAGGATTATGTAATGAGATGGAAAGCTCACAGGACCTCAAGAGTCATCATTTCTCTCAATGCTGCCTTCTTTATTTGTGAACGAGGCCAAAGATATGTACTTTTTCTACCTCATAAAGTTATGAGCATCACATGACAAATTGCACATTATTCTGAAAACTACATTTCAAGCAAAGATCAAGCGTCAAAGTATCAGGCAGGAGACTCATCACTTTGCCTTGTGATAGGAAGGCTTCTGAAGGGACTTGAGAGCACACTGATGGGAAACCCTAGAAACCCAAACCACCAACACTGCAGCCACCAAGAAGAATCTGAATTCCAAAAGATACTTATTAAGCGCCTTCTGTTTGCTGAATGGTGTACTGTGTCCTATAGGAAAATGGAAATATCCTTTCCTGATAAATCACTTGCATTCTTCTCCACTAAACTAAAAAATCACATTTTCCTTTCTTTTTCCTTTCTTTTTAATCTCTCTCTCTCTCTCTCTCTCTCTCTCTCTCTCTCTCTCTCTCTCTCTGTGTGTGTCCGAGTGTGCATGAGTGCATGTGAATGCAGGCAGGCATGCATGTGGAGGTCAGAGCACATGCTTGTGCCAGTTCCCACCTTCTACCTTGTTTATTCAGGCTCGAGGTCCTCACCCTTTCAGAGACTTTCCTGTCTCACCGCCCCCCCCATCTCACAATAGGAAAGCTGGGATTACAGGCATGCACTACTGTGTCTGTACAGGAGTCCAAACTCGGGTCCTCACACTTGCGCCGCAAGTGCTTTACCTACTGCTCCATCTCCCCAGCACATTTTTTTTTTTGCATTTTTCCCCTCACTTAACTCCGATAAGCCCCAGAGCTTTCCAATAGTTATGTTTCACAATGCTTGCTGAATACATGAATGAATGTATGTCAAGGGAACTAACTACACTTGCTGAACTAATGAGTGATCTCTTTGTGTGTTGATCATTTATGCTCATGAGCCTCTTTTAGGCCACAGGCACTTTGAGATTAACTGAGTGGAACGGCATTAGGCAGTGAAGCTCATGACTCTGCCCAGGCTCCCAGCATGCCAGAGTTAGGAGACAAGAGCATTAGGGAAGCTTTTTGCTTCTTTTTCTCTTTTAATGTGTTTGCGTGTATTGCCTGCATGTAGGTAAGTGCACCCGTGTCACGCAATGCCTGGAGAGGACAGAAGAGGCTGTTGGATCCCCTGGAACTGGAGTTACAGACAGTTAGCTGCCATGTGGATGCTGGGATTCAAACCCGGGTCTTCTGCAAGAATAGCCGGTGTTCTTAACCACTGAGCCATCTCTCCAGCCCCAGCCTTTTGCTTCTGTAACTGCTTGATCCTCTTTCTGGTTGGTTATTGCTTTTCAGGTTGGTGAAGCTGGTCCAGGATCTAGAAAGAACAGACTATACCTGTAATTGATGAGTGCTTTTATACACAGGGTCTTTTCAGTTTCTCTCTCTTCTCTCTCTCTCTCTCTCTCTCTCTCTCTCTCTCTCTCTCTCTCATCAAGGCCAAGATATAAGGAGGTAGATACAGCTTCAAAAATAAAATCTGACACCAATTACCTAGATGGGTGTTTAGACTTATGTGGTGAATACATCTCTTGACAGCCTGGGACCTTGTCTTTTCATGTCATTTGGGCATACGGACCACCTAACCTTCTGTGTGTCATTCCAGTTTTATCATATGTGCTGCCTAAGTGAGCACATTTCTTTTCTTTCTTTCCATTTCATTCCTTTTGTTTTCTTCCTTAGACCCTGGAGATCGAACCCAGTGACTTGTCCATGCTAGACAAGAGCTCTAACCACTGAACTATATCCCTACTTAACATCGCTACTTATTGGAAGCTTACAAACTTTACACTTTAAAACATATCTGTGAGGACTGATAAGATCATATGGGCAATGTTAACCAAAGTGTTACTGCTTGTATGCTTCTCAAACTCTTTAGGTAGTTTCCCACATGGTCCCAGAACTACTGGGTGAGGCTTCTTTGCTCATGTGGGGCATCTATTTCAGGGGTGCTGTCCCCTGGTATTCCTAGTGCTGCCAAGTCTTGGGCTGTATCTTAAGCTCATCAGGAGAGCTTCTGCTCTTCCTGGCCCTGAGTCCCACCTCCTACTGGACCTCTCAGCTTGTGTTCCTGGCGCCAGAGTCCCCAGTGCGAACAGGCCAGTACGTGGTGGCTTAAGCTGACTCAGCTGTACGTGCTTCCTGGAGATCAGTCATTTTTCTGAGGAAGAAAATTTGGTTAAAATAATTTCGGAAGTATTTCCTATTTGAGATTTAACAGTTGTTTTTTAATCTTCTGATAATCCAACAAGAACATAAAAATAAAAACATTTTGTTTAAATGACAAGATACAAGTTTTATGTGTCAACTAGGGGGAGAGTGAGGTTTGACCAGCATGTTGCTTGTCAGACACAAGATTCCTGAAGGGAATACAAGTGGGAGAATAAAAGCTCCCTGGTGTTCCTCCCCGCACTCTGGTATAGGTAAATCAAGGGTAGAAGGAAAGACAAGCTGGCTGGGGAAGGGTTTAGCGAGCATCAGGCATATAAAAGAAAGGTTCTGACCAAGACAGAAGAATGTGGCCTTTACACGCCCCTCAATAACCTGATGTAATGCACTTAGCTTGAAATGAGCGATTTGTGAAGATCAATCAGGCCAGCCTTAATCTAATCTATTACAACTTTCTATAATTACAGCTTCTATTACATAAATCTTTCCACAGCTCTGTTCAAATACCAAAAGACATTTCTTACTTTAGAAGAGAAAGGGAGCTGGCACTGAAGAAAACCTTATGGGTGAGTAGGAACGTGGGTGGACACAACACATTCCATTTTGCTGGTTAGACTTCAAAAGAAAAGTTTGTTTTGCAAACAAACATCGATATTATTGAATAAAACAACCCAACATTCATCCTGCTAGAAAAGAGCAAATCTCTGTTTCCTTAGAGAGATATGATTTTGCAATAGCTGAAATTTTACTGTTTCCTGATTTGGGGTGTTTGGGTTTAGGTGGCCCACGCGAAGCCCCTTGTTATTCAGGCAGATGTCCTGCAGAGGGAGCTAGAGAGCTGCCTAAGGAGAGAGTACACGTCGGAAAATCTCCCTTTGCTTCTGTTGCAGGTAAGGGTCATCTTGCAATTTTGAAAACACATGTGGGATTTAGTAGAAATGTGTGAACAAACTGGCGTTTTGGTAGATCCTCTGGATAGGTTTTCTATTTGTGGGTAATTTGCAGAATTTGGTGTAAATGCTGTTCTTTATTAGAGACCTTTTCCAAAGCTAAGTTCAGTTTAAAGTCTGGGCAGTTGATAAATGTCTACTAAATACGGCTGTGCTGGTATTATAATTTCAAACAACAAGGACAAAGACCTTCTCAACATTCAAAAAGCTGGAAGGACCCTTCTGGAAATCTCTTAAGAAAATAACTCAAAATAGGAAAAAAATTTCCGTAAAGAATGTTGCCATATTGTAAGGAAGTAAACATTTTAAAAATTGCTCATCTACCAATAAGAGTTAGGTGATGCGAGCTGTGGGACTTGGTGGGGCATATTCCCACCATTAAATGTACTTTTGCATAAGAAATTTTTACATCATGTGATATTAATTAAAAAATTATGTGTATATTCTGGCAGATGCAGTCCCCATATGATTTAAATACAATAATTTTAAATGTATTCCAAAATGTCATGCTTACTGGGAACAGATTTCTTTTTGTTAATGAAAACAGGTGCTACTTTTTGTATTACCAACTTATTTCAGTGAGAAATACGCTTATATGTTGAAGAAGGGTAATCGCTTATTTTTTTAAAAGGTATAGTAATGACACATTGAAGACAAAATAAAAACGTTATCATAACCACAAAAAAAAAATTATGTGTATTTGATAATGATGAAATAATATATAGAGGAATCACTATGTGTGGATGGAGGGTAATGAAAAAATCCTTTTTTAATGTTATATATTTTCTCAATTTTGCGTAATTATATATTGTTTCAAATTAAGAAATTTTTGTTCTTCACTTCTATTAAACCTCTTCATATAGTTCCATGGCGTGAGTTATTTCCCTTCATGCATACAAGTTGGTTCTTTAGCAACTAGCTAGCAGTTATTAATAACAAAGAAATAAAAGATGATGAGATTCTAATCGCAAGTTAAGCTGTTGCTGTCTTCATTCACAATTCTCTTTCCCTGTACCTTGCTCTCTTCGTCCCTCCCTTCCTCCCTCCTCCTTCCCCCCTCTCTCCCTCCTTCCCTTCCTTTCTTCTTCCTGACATTTTTCGTCCATTTGTGTATATCAGTGGTTTTCAATGGAGAGAGTGGGAGAGTAGGAATAATAGACATTTTGTCTCCTAGAAGTCTTATGGCAGTACCTACAGACATTTTTGGATATCAAAAACCAGGGCATGGGCATGCACTATTGGTAGCATCTCATATTTAGTTGCCAGAGGCCAGACATGCTGTTGAGTACTCTGTAATGCAGGGAGCAGCAAGAATTGCTCAGTTTCAGTTGTCAACAGTGATAAGGTTGAGAAATTCCAGAATAGTGTAATTTCCATGCTGTATCATTTAATCATCTGGAGACCTTTCCTCAGCATTCCTTGTGGTTCAAATCTACCATGGAACAATTCTTACAGTCTTTGTTGTTTTATAGAAATTATTATCTTTTCGGGGCTGGAGAGATGGCTCAGCGGTTAAGAGCACTGGCTGTTCTTGCAGAAGACCCGGGTTCGAATCCCAGCACCCACATGGCAACTAACAACTGTCCGGTAACTCCAGTTCCGGGGGATCTGACAGGCTCTTCTGTCCTCCGAGGCCACTGCACGACATGGGTGCACTTACCTACATGCAGGCAATACACGCATACACATAAAATAATAATAATAATTTTTTTAAATTATTTTTTCATTTTAGAAGGACATTTCTGTTTGCTATAGAATTCTGGACTGGTAATTTTACTCTTTTATTATTTTATTTTATTTATTTATTTTATTTTATGTGTATGTGTGTATTGCCTACATGTAGGTAAGTGCACCCGTGTCGTGCAATGCCCATGGAAGACAGAAGAGGATGTCAGATAACACAGAACTGGAGTTACGGACAGTTGTTAGCTGCCATGTGGGTGCTGGGATTCAAACCCGGGTCTTCTGCAAGAACAGTCAGTGTTCTTAACTGCTGGGCCATCTCTCTAGCTCCTCTTTTATTATTTTAAAGATGTTATTATATTCTCTTTGGACTAGAATACTTCTGGACACAATATATTTTCTGTCCTCTGACTACTTTAAGATTTTCTCTTGACAGCGAGGCGTGGTGGCCCAAGCCTTTAATCCCAGCACTCAGGAGGCAGAGGCAGTTGGATCTCTGTGAGTTCCAGGCCAGCCTAGTCTACATAGTGAGTTCCAGGCTGGCTGCTGTGGTTACAGGGAGATCCTGTCTCAAAAAGACCAAAAAAAAAAATTGTTTTTTTCTCTTAATGATTTTTAGCTACTTTATTCGGGTGTGTATATTGAGGTCTTTGCTTTTCTCTTGCTTGGGGTTAAATTTAGCTTCTTGGATTGTGTGTTTGTATTTTTCACCAGAGGAAGAAGATTTATTTCTGCTCACAGCTTTGGAGGTTTCATTCCAGGTCACTTGTGTCAATTACCATGCAACTTTCACCTTAACGGAGATTAAGAGGTAGTTTCTTCTGGAGTCAAATATGTGTGACTATAGCCCAGGAACACAGATTTGGGTTATCCCAAATTCCATGTTTCAATGTGGCGACAGTTTCATAGTGATAGAATAAAGAAAAGTCACAAATCAGGGCACTTTCCAAATACATTGTTGTAAATATCAGGTTGGCATATTACAGCAAAATGGGGGAAAGGTCTCAACAGTAGGCTAAGATGCTGTCTGATGGCATTCTTAGCCTTTTGTTTGGTGGAAACTAGTGGTCTGTCCACTCCAAAGGATTTCCCTAATATCCACAAAGACACAGAGGTGGGCAAGGAATAACTATTAAGGATATTACAGATAGCCCAAGATAAATTGCAAATAAACCCTGGACCTGCAATATTCTAACCTCTCCACAATCACTGAAGTTCTAATTAGTTCTAACTAGGTAATCAGCCTTGTAGAAGGTTCAATGTATTTTTTTTTTGTGTGTGTGTGTGTGTGTGTGTGTGTGTGTGTGTGTGTGTATTTAAATTTCCAAGACTTTCTTTTTTCCCCCTTCTTAAAAGTGAATTTTTGTGAATTTTATATATTTTTATTGTATTTAGATCCCCTCCCTTGTCTGCACCCCCCCTTATTACTCTCTGTCCAATTTCATGTATAAAGGCTATAGAGTCAAATTTGTGTCCCCAAATGTCCTTCAGTGTGGGTCCTTCCACTGGAGCTTGGTTAACCTACTAAGAGTCACACCTTTAAAAGAGACTGATCATCCCCTTTGCAGTGGCCATTGGTTTTCAATAGTTCCTCAGGTAAGACAGATTTCTTACCCGCCTTCCCCATGTCTATGCTGGTATTTTGTCTGGTTTGAGCTTACATGGGACTTGTGCATGCTGTCACCATTGCTGTGAGTTCATATGAGTAACTTCCCAAGTATCTGGAAAACTGTTTCCTTGTGGTCATCCACCACCTCTGTTTCTTACAATCTTCCTTCTGCCTATTCTGCAATGATCCCTGAGCTTTTGGAGGCAGAAGTTTAATATAGGTGTCCAATTCAAAATAATCACTCACTAGTCTCTTAGTCTCTGCACATTGGCCAGTTGTGGGTCTCTGTGTTAATCACTATCTGCTACATAAGGAAGCTTCTCTGATCCGAGTTGAGAGACACAGTAATCCATGGGTATAACAATAAGTCAGTAGGCATCGCTTTAATACTATATCTGTTTGGCAGAATAATTGTATTGGGCTCTCCCCTGTGGCCTGTGACCTATCTAGTCACTGTTCCTAGGCCTGCTATTAATGTTTGGTATGTGCTCCATTTTATGAAATAAACCTTAAATCCAATTAGAAAGTGATTGGTTACTCCCATAATATTCATGCTACTATTGCACCAGAGGTTGTCTTGCCAGGCCAGTTGTTGAAACACACAGAATTCACAGCTGAGTAAAGTTAGTGATTATTTTCTTCTGATAGTGTGCATAGCACCTTCCAGCACTATGAAAGCTAGTCAGTAAAGATGAAGCTTTGACGTCAGCACCAGCTTGATTTCTCCTTGCTTTTTTCTATGGCTCATGTGTGTAGTGTCTTCAGTGAAAGGATCTTACCATCAAGTTCTGGTGGGGAAACAAGAGCAAGGGCAACGGCCAGTATTATTTTAAGGGTCTATGGGACCCTAGTCAGCAGCTTCAAAAGAGGGAGTACATCCTGGCATCCGGCTTTTACTCTGCTAGCCTGTGGTATCTAGTAGGGGCAATCCCCCTGTTATAAAATAACTGTTCTGTATCTTTTAAGAAGCTTCTATAGGGCCAGGTTTCCATATGGCCTTTTCTAAAGGCCTTTAGTGTTAGTTGTCCCCATACTCCAGGAACTTTCATTTATACTTGGCTCCCTTGTTTCTGAGCCTGTAGTGAGGCCGATTATCATAACTGGGCACAGGACAACTGTTCACCTCATAGTGACCAGGAATCAGGGAGCCTCACTTTTATAATAAAGACCCTCTATACCAACACATGAATTTATGAATATATGAATCGATTAATCAGTTGATGAGATCAGAGCTCCCATGATCAAATCACATCAAATCACTTCCCAAAGACCCACCTCTGAACACTGCTGTTTGGGGACCAAGCCTTCAATATATGAGTGTTTGGGGGACACTTAAGATCCAAATCATAGCAGTCATAATTCTGCTAAGTGTAGATGTTAAATTAGGATCAATTCTTAGCCCTTTAAAAAATATTATTTTTAAAATTTTATGTGTATGAGTGTTTTACCTGCATGTATGTAAGGGCATGGTGTTGTGCAATTCCCAAGAAGGTCAGAAGAAGGTGTCAAGTCCCCTGGAACTGGAGTTACAGATGGTTGTTAGCTGCCATGTAAGTGCTGGGAACTGAACCCAGGTCCTCTGGGAGAACAGTCAGTGCTCTTAATCGCTAGCCATCTTTATAGTCCCTGCTTCTTAGGCATTAGATTA